GAGCCTTATCACAGCTGTGAGTGCGGCCACAGCGCGGCGGCCCTTTGTCTTTTTTTGTTCGGCGCTGAGCTGCAGAGGGCGGGGGGGCCTCAGGAATGGCTGCACCTCACGAGAAGCAGTTTACACAAGCAGAGGAGCCACACAAAAGACAGATGCATGACTTCCTACGGAGGCGAAGACTGACTCAGAGATTGCATCTTCTCATATCGGAGAGGCTGGAAAAGGCCACGGTGACAGATTGTGGAATTTCTTCTCTTTGTGGTTTCTTTACACTGCGTGCCCAGATGATCTATAATCTACGCTCAGCATGGCTGCAAAGGGAGCCTGCGAGGGGAGGCTTTTATTTGTAGTGGGAGAATCGAGCAGTATTTCACTCGTAACAGCATTGTCCTTAGTGACAGCTTACATCTGTGAGTATTAAGTGGTCAATGTGCGCTGATTTGCTGCGTAATAAAAAGGGATCTATTTGGAGGAAGTTCGCTGCCTAGAAGAAACACCACGCTGCAACTCATCTGTTCCATCTGTTAGCAGTTTTGCAAAGTAGAGGTCACGGACTTCGCCTTGGCATACTTATCCTTTTTAGGTAGCGGCACAGCCAAGCTATTCAATGAAAAGTCTGAGGGTTGATCGTGTGGTTTGATCCATTTAGCAAGAATAGCTGCGGATTTTCTGATAACAGAGAAGACGCAACAAAGGGAGCTGAGAGGAGGGAATGTTTGAGCGCCACATGTAGCAGGAAATCCATCCAAAGTCGTTCTATCATTGACTCTGTTTTGTCTAAACTCACATAAATCAGTAACCGACAGCATTAACATCAGAAGCACTGCCTCTTTCAGAAGTCCAACTCTTTGTTGCAGTGCCACCCTCTGGCCTTTTCTTGTAAGTTCTCGGTTTGCAACATAATCTCTTCCATATGAAACTGATCTTTTAATCTTTGAAAGTCTCCCTCCGAGCCAGAAAAACTAATTTGAGGGGAATTCAGGTCATCGTGTTGGGAAGATGAGAAAATGTCTCGGATGATAGAGGACATTATCTGAACACGTTGAAGTGAACCGTGTGACCCGACCAAACGTAACACATGCAATTCATTTGAATGGGAGAAAATATGGAACAAGAAAAATGGATCTCTGTCAAGGCAGGAATGCCAGTTTCAGAAGCACTCCCAGCTGGAACTAAAGCTGAATTACGAAACTATGTGATTTCTTATTCCGTCTCAATAATTAATGGTCCTCTCAAGCTTGTTTGAAAGTTGCTGCCTGCCTGCCCGGCAGTGATTCATTTATGTTACCTGCAGCTACACAACTTGTAATCCTGACTTGTTAAAGGGTGAAAGGTGACATCAAGCCTCAGGCTGAACATGGGTGAGGCCTTTTCAAAGTAACTGCAAAGAAATAAGACTGGAAGCCTCTCGAAGCCCAGCAGCTATCTATTTTTAACGTCCTCCTTTCACAAGTCCGCGCACTGCTCTGTCTCCTGCCTACATGCGCTATTCAGCTGACTTAAATCTGATGTGAGTGAGCTTTTGGAAGAGGAGGGATGTTGTCGGACCCCCACCTGGTTCCTTCCTGACTTTGCACACAGCAGGATGTGTGACTAAGCAGCAGCTCGCCGGTCTCTCTGGGCAGGCTGCCTGCAGGAAGACGGCACAGAACACAGTTTCATATTCTCTTTCAAGAAGTGTGCATTAATAAAGATTGTGCCAGGCAGCTCTGAATTTTGTAGGGTAATGTTAACGTGGCGCGGTTCAAGGAAAGGGCGCCGTCCTCATTTTCTGAAGTGTGAACTGATGAGCGGCAGAGGAAATGTGTCGGGTTTTCTCCTCTGGAACGTAGCCAGTGTTTGGTTTGCGTGTTTGTCAAAGCACTTCAGATGCTATAATGAGAGAAGGAAAGAAAAAAAAAAAAAAAGCCCCTTCGTACTTCACAGCAATTCACTTCCCACCATGTACAGAGCTGCATCACTTGAAGTTCTGTCGCATGTTTTTCAGACATTTGCAGGCATTCCAGGTGACATTTTTACTCCTGAAGTTCCATAGTTAATGTTGTAAATGAGGATGGGCTAAAACTAAAACTGTTTGTACTGTAAGCTGATCCATGCTGAGATTATTCTTTATTTATTATGTTTATATTTCTGAATATAAATTGTCCATTGTTTTGAAAACCCTGAATTATACACATTTATGGGCTTATAATTGTACTTTTTGGGGTCTAGTAGAGTGTATGGAGAGT